GGGGGTTAATTGAAGAGGTTGCTATGATGGTTGATGAAATGATCCCTAGAGGTTCATTTGTTCATACCAGTTGCATCTTTTGCTGCTTCTGCAGCTCCTTGTGCACTTTCCTTCACCTGCTGTCCAGCCTGCAAAAATTTGACCTTTTTAGTCAATTAAATTGGTTTTCCAGCGTCAAAATAGATGACGACTGTTGTGATTATAAAACAAAGATTGATAAATGTAGATACATTAAATAAATTAAACAATCTTCATTGTATATTTTATGTTATAAGCTTTGATTTGATATGAATTTTGAATTTTGAATTCGAAATATATGACTATTGACATTTCCAAATCAAAGTGGTAAAACTGGAAATTTGCGACCTGCTGAACGGAGTCCTGAGCAGACTGGGCAGCTTGGCCAGCCTTGTCCATCAGCTGATTGCCCTTCTCCTGAAAACCACAAAACAAAGTTTGAATGTTACATACATACATACATACATACATGTACGTGTGCGTGCATGCATACTACGTAAATGATATCTATATGAGAGCAGAGAGATTGCTCACTTCGACTTGGCCCTTGGCTTGGCCAGCTTTCATTTCTGCGCTCTGAGCGTTGTTCATGGTTCTTGTTTTGAGATTCGTGCGATTGAAATGTGTTGAATACAAACGGATTGTTTTTATGAAAAGCTACAAAGGGGAAATGGGATTTATATATGGCATGTAAACGCTCGTTTTCCATTAATATCTCCATATTTTTTGGGCGTTTGAATAGGAAGAAGTTGTGTTTGAGAAGGAGAAACTTACACTTGGTATCATTTCATCATTTCATGTGATTTCTATTTTATTATCGGTTTACAATGAGTGTTTAAATTGAATGGTATCTGACTTTTTCCCCTTTTTTCTGACACGTAACTTGGATTATGTTGCCTATTTCTTCAATAATGAAAGAGTTAACGAACTTTTATTCCATCTTCTACTAAAGAAGAAGTTACGGTTTTCAAAATAAATTCGAATAGTGTATTCTCATATTCTCTTTTAAAAAATGGGGTCATTTATGTTACCTTTTAATAAATAACTAGTAACATGTATGTCGCATGTTGCTGCATCGATCGGTTTTGTAAGTTGAATTTGGAGTATTGGTAAAATTATATATTGTTGCATTTGTTGGTTAAGATAAATACATAAGGTCGATACCATGGACTATCTTCAATTTATATCGTCATATAAAAATGTATTATATGTGACTAAAGTCATATATATGAAACATACATAAACATAAGCATGAAAACGTACATAAAATTACATCAAAACATAAAGAAACTCGAATTTATACTAAAACGTGCATAAAAATAAATAAGTAAGATTTTTTAAAGTTACACTACAAGAATAGTGAGTATAAGTGACGACACACGTCGCCGCTAAAAGTTCAGGTTGTTGCCGCTAATAACTTTAGAGGTAACGTGTCGCCGCTTAAAGGTTGCCGATGTTGCCTCGCCGCTAATGCTCTAAAGGTCACCACTATTGGTCTTCGTCGCCGCTAATGGACAGTCGATGCTAATACCCTGCATCGTCGCTAAAGGACTGTCGGCTAATACCCTGCATCGTCGCTAAAGGACTGCCGTCACTAATATACATGTGTCGCTGCTAAATGTGTCGCCACTAATTGTATTATCCATTTTTTTATTATTTAACATTAAAATTAGAAAAAAAGAACAGAATAAAAAGTATAAAAACTGCTTCGAAACATTATTTGTAGAAAAAAAAAACGTATTATATGTGAAATGACATAAACATAGGAAACATATATAAAAATAAGCACAAAAACGAAAAAAAATTACATTGAAATTAGATAAACTAAAATTTATACGGACACGTACATAAAAAAAACAAGTAAATTTTTTTAAATAAATTAACGAACGGAAGTTCTAAATATACGCCGAAACATTGAATATCTCGAATTTATATCGACACACACGCACAAGTATATATATATATATATATATATATATATA